AGTCTACATTTCCAGCCTCCCTGTGTATTCCTGTGGGAAAACGCGCGTGAATTTTGTCTCTTCGCCGGAAAATAACGTGAATAACTTTTGTCATTTCGGTTGTACCGGATAGTATCTAACTTTATTGGTATTGTGAAAGTGTAACTGCTTTAGTTACAGCATTTTTATTTACCACTGATTGATGTTAAACTTCCGCTCTAAAATATCAGGCCCAAACCTCTGTTTCAAGGAAGGTATGTGAAAAAAAGCGACGATTCTAAGCAAATTAACGATCGAAAGGAATGTAGAGTATGTTCAAGGTTTGCTAGCATTTCGATTATGCTTATATATTGATGGTACTGTCATTGGTACTGTCATTGGATGAAAATGACCCGTCGTGCATCTTTACGATCGGTTAAAGAAGCATTCGATCGCAAAAAATAAAGCACGTGAGCTATGAAAGGTGCGTCTTTTTATTATTTCCTATGTCTGGCAGTTTTTATCGAGCACCTGCTCTCTGGCTCCCCCTGTTTGAAAATATTTGGAGCGTGCGAGTGATGATTTGAACCAAGAACAAGCATCTTCGCAGATATTAATAAGCAGAAAGAATAAAGCAGTACTTATTTATTGCATATCTGACTATATTACGTGGCTTTCAATTTATTTTGACCGTCTGCGTGCACAAGGTGTTACTTATCCAGTGTAACTGCGTAGTTCTTGCCGTCTCTCTTGGTTTTCCATATGTCCTTCGTTCATTTGGCACGTACATCCCCCATGCTGGAAATTGTCGACGCCGTGTTCGCGCTAGCAGTGTCCGACAGTGCACATAAATACACGTACGAAGCGGTTTTAACACCGTTTTTCATGCCACGAATTTCAAATAAAAATGCTGTAACTGACCAATTATTTCGTCTGCGTGACTGAGAAATGTTCCAATGTGCCTAGTACGTACACATTATTCGTGATATTTGCTTCTATAATCGAGCGGAAAGAGAAAATGCACTCGCTTTTTCCCATAGATATATGCATTACCGGAAGTCAATTTCTGACTGCTTGTTGTCTGCTTCAAAATGCAACAGCACACTAGAGCTACCTGAGCTTCTAGCGTTTATCGCTTTGGTTGTTTCGGTCGCTTCGAATAGTATGTACCTTGATTAACACTGTAAAAGTGTAATTGCTTTAGTTAGCGCATTTTTCTTTATCAGTGAGCGATGTTTGACTTCGCTACATTTCAGTCCCAAACGTGTGTTTGGGTCTTAAACGTGTGTTTGGCTTGAAAACAAGCGACGATTTGCAGCAAAATTACAATCGAAAGGAATATAGAAAATATTCAAAGCTCGCCAGCGTTCCGGGGACGCTTATATAGTGTTAATATGCTAGTCCTGTCACTATAGGAAAAGGACCCCTTCGTGCATGAGCGGATAAAAAATTTCAAAACGTAGAGAATAAAGTCTGTGGGCTATGAAAGTTGTCTCTTCCTATTGTTTTCTCTGCCGGGCAGCTTTTATCGGGCACTTGATCTCAAAGATTTCGAGCGTGCGGGTGATATTTTTAACGTAGAACAAACATCTTCGCTCAGAGCAGAAAGAACAAAGCGGTACTAACTTATTTAAAATCGCAATAGATTACGTGGCCTTCAATTTATTTCGATCGTGCAAATGCACGGGTAGTTACTGATCCAGTGTTACTGCGGAGCTCTTGCCGTCTCCCTTAATTTCCAGATGTCCTTCATTCGTTTGGCGCGTATATCCCTCATGCTAAAAAGCGCCGACGTCGTGTTCGCGCTAACAATGTCCGACTGTACACATAAATACACCTACGAAGCCGTTTTAGCACAGTTTCTAATGCGATTAATTTGAAAGAAAAAAGCCGTAACTGACCAATTATTTTTTTGTCCTGACTGAGAGATGTTCCAAGCTACCTTGTACGTACGAATTATTCGTGATATTTGCTCTTATAATCAAGCGCAGGGAGAAAATGCACTCACTTTTTCCCATAGAAATGCATTACCGGAAGTAAATTTTTGACTGGTTGCTGTCTGCTTCAATTTGCGTCAGCACACCAGCGCCACTTGAACCTCTAGCGTACATTATAATAACTCTACGGTTTTGCGGCCGCGTACAGTGTTGTCACTCCTACTGATTTATCAGTACATCTACTGATTTTCTCAGAATTCTGCTGATTTAGTGATAATGCCACAAATTATCTATTGATTTTTCTCCTTTTTTCCTACACGTGGTCCAAAACTACTACTATTTGCTCCAAGGCATGCCCACGAGACCCGCCGTGTACGAATTTAGGCGTACTTCGGCGGGTCTCCCGTGTGTGTGTGTGTGTGTGTGTGTGTGTGTGTGTGTGTGTGTGTGTGTGTGTGTGTGTGTGTGTGTGCGTGCGTGCGTGCGTGTGTGCGTGCGTGCGCGTGCGTGCGTGTGTGTGTGTGTGTGTGTGTGTGTGTGTGTGTGTGTGTGTGTGTGTGTGTGTGTGTGTGTGTGTGTGTGTGTGTGTGTGTGTGTGTGCGTGTGCCAGCGAGGTAGGTGTAGGCGCAAAGGTGACAACACAATGCAGGGGATAGTTAAACCAAACGCTCGTGGATTGATGCACAAGATGGGAAAAGGGGAGGAAGGCTTGTCAAATCTAGAGTCACTACAGAGCGACGGCACGGTCGGCCATCTGAGAGGGCACACCTCGCTTCGCACCTTTCATGCCGTGCCGTATCCATCGCGGTTTGAACAATTTTAACTGGCTTATAACTTCTGAAATAACGCCAAGTTTGCCACCACGATTTTTTTTCCGTGTTACTACCTTGCCTGAGGTCTATCTCAGCGCAAGTTTTCGACCAGTCAAAAAATCATTGGAGGGCCCTTTCCTTTAAAACACCTTGGAATATGGGGACTTCGAAAAAAAATTCCGGCAACAAAATTTACACTCAAAGAACAGGAATTGTGAAACTACTTTACTGAGCAGACCACTAAGCGATAAAGACTAAACAATTTCTGGTAATCCTGTAATAGTCGCGCGGCAGCTGACGTCCGGATATTGTAGGAAGACGTCTTGGGAAATCCGCTTTCCATACAGTTTCTACTTTTTTTCTCTGCTCCTTTTTTGTGGCATTTTTTTTACATGTGCTGTGCAAATAATCAATGCAATATCCGTACAACATACACAAGCTAATAGAAAGAAAAAAAAAAGACTACCGAAATTTAGAAATTTACTGAGTTTTTTTCTGATTTTTCAAGCTGAAATCTACTACTCTTTTCTGGGGAGCTGTGGCAACACTGGCCGCGTCTTGTGTGTCAACGGTGAGAGCGTCGCGGTTGGGTCCGCGACGGTCTCGTCGTCGTCGCTGGAACTGGTCGAATAGCGGGCTGAAGTCAAAAAGGGCCAGCTTCCTACATGTTTCCATAACAACCACTCTCGTCCCTACTGCGATCGGGCGATGCAGTACATAGACGTAATCGTTTCGAAACTGCTTGCTGAAAACCGCTGAAAGGAAACAACGAAGCAGAAGCTTGAGACGCCGACAGAGCCGAGTCTTCAACAAGAGCGTGCAAGAGAATAACGGTCGAGTTGCGCCGGCTCGTTCGCATCGCGCCACTAGGACAGACGTGAGCAGTGTACGCTTCAGTTCCTGTATGGGCTCCTGCCACCAACCCTTCAAACATGGCGGCCTTCCCGGACGAGCGGAGTCGATCCGGTCTCGCGACTAAATCGAATTTTTCTACGAAACTCGCGCGTTGTTTACGAAACTAATTGAGCGTAAATATATGTTACTATCCAATTGGGTTCTAGCGACGAAATGATCTCATCTTTTATTTTACCGTCTCCAAGCAGCCTTAAGAAAAAGAAAGGCAGGACGTTGTTTAAAGGGATACTACAACGAAATTTCGGCGCTCATTTTTTGGTCTATATGTGTTCAAAAAAGCACCATCAAATCGAACATACCAATATCTTGTTAAAAAAGTCACAGAAAGGAATTTTGAAACGAATTAAACGATTAGCAAAGAGCACCTGGTGGATGTCGCTAACGCCTCGCTTGTAATGCCCGTCTAGCAACCTTGGCAGCTAGTGACGGAGGTTGTCTCGCCTCCGGCCGCGACGAGAGAAGAGGGGCAGGAGGAACTCCCCTCTTCCCGAGAATGCATTTTGTGTGTCACAGAAGTCGCTATTGTCCCCCTACAAGATTATATAAGATTAACCCGTCACTCAAAATTCGTACAAAAGCAGCCGCTTCGGTGGCTGGAACGACTAGGCCATCCTCTCGACGTCAGCCTCGCCGTAGCTTTGCTCGTCTTGAGACGACCTACGTCACGATTGCGTTGGATGTCACGTGGTCTCCGATGGGCCTTCTCCGAGCGCTTGCCAGAGTGGGCCGTTTATAACGATAAATACAGCCACCAGGCTCAAACTACAAACGTGCGATTGTCATTTACGGATATTGCGGATAATATTCAACCTATTTTTGAACACGACGGGAATATTTCAAATTTCGTTGAAGTATCCCTTTAATCGTTCTACGGTGGCTACTGAGCGATGATAAGACGCTCAGGATTTGTCGCGCCCTGCGTTTCTGAAGTTTTCAGCGACTTTAAAACGTTTCAAGTTAGCTCATTACGTCGATGGTTGGTTCGCACACTTGCGTTTGCTTACGACCGTGTCCTTGTGATCTCTTACAATGAGAGAACGCACTGGCACGCTGGCGCCGTCTATGAGGTGGCCCTGGAACTGTATTTCACGAGAGCGTAGGTTTTGCAGTATTTGAGACATTGAATGTGTCTACTGTTAATTAGAAATCGTCGTTTAAAACATCGTAGAAATTATTTTTTTAAGCCAATAAAGAATGGATGATGAGCAAAATAAAGTAGGGAATATACGGAAATCACGAGCGTTTCACGGCTACCCGGTAGATGGCGCCAGTGAGCTTTTTAGTCGTAAGAGATCGCAAGAAGTTTTAACGCACTTCGGTCGTAAGCGGTCTAAAGCCTTGAGACGAATGCCTGATGCACACTTTGTATTTAAAGGACACCTCGGCGGTGGCCCGAAGCATGATGGGCTGTCACGACCGTACGTACGAGTTCCTGGTCCGGTACAGCGAAAACCTCAGGGAGACAGAGGAGAGCATTCGGTCCAACGTCCGCATGTTCATCGACGACGTGAGCGGCTGGGGCAACGAGATCGGCCTGGTCACCCGCGAACTGCGGACGGCGCTCTCTAGCGGCTCTCTCCCCCCATCGTCGGCCCGGCGTACCCAGAGTGCGGACACGCTGCCCTCCCCGACGCCCGCCTCCAGTGACGCGAACCCGCCCGGTCCCCGGCCTCCAGTCGGCGTCAAGGACCTCGAGGACCGGCTACGGCTGCTTGTGGCCAAGGACCGCGGCCACCACAAGCCACCGGGACACTACAATCCGGAGCAGGGCATTGACACGCCGTTCCGACCGCAAAGCTACGGCATGGACCGCGAGATGGAAGACACGGATGTCTACAACGCCACCAGGGATCCTAATTCCAGCAGCACTCGCGGGAGCGTCACTTTCCCGTCTCCGTGGTATCCCGATCGGCCGCCGAGGTTCGCGATGTCCGAAGATCGGGTGACGGATCCTAAGCTCATTCTCCTTGAGCGTCTAGGGAGACATCTGACACCGAAGGGTCCCTCGGGGCAGCCTACACCAGATGGTCCTCTGGGGCACCCGACACCTGAGGGACCCTTGGGCTACTCGACAGGTTCCTTGGGACACTTGACACCCGATGGTCCCGTGGCACAGCCGCCACCGGACGGTCCCTTGGGACAACTGACATGGGAGGCACAGAAGCCGGACGAAGCACGCGAGCAGCGACGAGAGGCGATCGAATTTAAGGGAGAGTCCACGGAGCAAGAGACGAAGATTCTGGGGGACTCCATCAGCCTCGGACAGCTGGTGGGCTTCACAGAGGACGGCAGCACTAGCGCGGCTTCGAGGAACAGCAACCTCGGCTTCACTCCCCAAGCAGATGGTGCGGAGACCCGGCAGGCGAGAAGAGAGCAGGAGTACGACACTTGGGGACCGTCGCAGAGTTCCGAAGGTGTTGGGAAGCGGACTCCGGATCAGCCACCGAAAGACGCGGAGAGCAACTAATGAGCAGGCCAAAATTCGGCAAGTCTAGGGCATTTAAACGACCTGCAATGCTATTCATCAGAACAGAACTAAGATTGAGAGCGCGCAGTGATGCAAGTAGCCGGATATCGGAACTGAAACGCCTCGTGGATGTGGTGGGGTTGATGCCGGAATTCGCGCGCTGGTCTCGTAAATCTTCACTTTACGCGGTACAAATCGTATGTTTCCAAAATAGTTCTTTTTCTCTTTTTTTTAAGTCCGGCTTGTTTATCAGCGTCCGCCTTTTCTACACAAATTCAAATATTAATAAATATTACATTCCAGCTTCAATAAGGGCGTCAATAAGCCGAGGAGCAAGTGTAGACATTGACGAACCCTAAGATCGCGCGACAGCTTGCAGAGATTATATGTTTGCGGCAAAAGCTTGATCTGCTGGTTAGTAAATTGTTTACAAATATATTTGAGGTTTCTAACCAAAGCTTCGAATAATGCATTTCAAAGTGTTGGACAAGCAGGGCTGAGACGAGCCGCTGCACTCATCTCTTAATGGTCAACGTCCTTTGAAGAGCGCCGTTTAATATCGTGCATAAACGGTCATGATAAAAAAGAAGTGCAAAAAAAAAAATCTAACAACAACAACAGGTGGAAGAGTGTTTGGCAGAGGATGAGGGAGAGGAGGAAGGGGGAATGCCTAACGCCCCTCTATCGACCCACACACTGTTTACAAACAATCCCGCGTCTGCCCACACCACGGGTGGGCACTGCGCATGCGCACAGACCAGATTCGCGCGAGGCGAAGCATCTACGCATGCGCAGTGCCGACCACAGCGCCGCCGCAATGGCATGACGTCAGAGAGTGGTTGTTTTATCGTGGGTAGCGCCATTTTGAATAACGTAGCGCCATCTAGTGAGCGCCAGGTCATTCCGCAGTCATTCTGAGTGGTTAAAACGTTAGCCAAAGTGCTCTTCGGGGGCTTCGGGTTGCCGCTCTCGCGTTGAGTGTGACAATTGTGGGGCTCCAAAGTGCTGGGTATCCTACTTAGGGCGCGTTTTGTGTTCTTGTGCGCCGCAGATGGCGTTTTTTAGCTCATTTGGGAATGTTTCTTTGCCCCTCATTATGGCGTCGGCCAGTGCGGCGATGCCGAGAAGAACGGCAGTGAACATGTCACCGATAGAAATCGGAGGTGAGTACCCAGAATATTGTATCAGTTTACAGCGGTTGAATTTACCTTCGTTTTTTTTTTTTTTTTTTCGTTCTAGATGCAGTACACGGAGAATATGTTTTGTGTCGTTCACATCAATGAAATATAATGTAAAAGAGGATGCGCGAAATGAGAGCATTGCGGGAAGAGACCGAAGGCAGCTCCTTCCGGCTAGCAGATGTTTATAAAATATTTACTTGAGGATCCCGTGACGATCAGTGAGTCCTTTGTCTAGAACTCAAAATAGCGAAGTCGAGATGGGCCCATTACCGGAGCGAGAGGATCAATGATTCAATGGTTCGAAATCGATGCGTGAGCATGTCTCAGCATTATAAATTTACGTTTTCTTTTCAGTACGTTATGCACTAATTGAAAAAAAGGAAGAACCCAGCTCGGGTTGGTAACTTGTAACGGTCAACACACTTTCATGGCTTTCCGATCGCGATTAAAGAAATCCGATAGAACTAGCTTTTCAACAATTTGTAGCCACACCCGGCGGCGAAAATGAGCCTTCTAAACGTTGCAAATTATAAAATCGAGTCAATGTCGTCATTGCAAGATATCAGCATCGACATAAATTAAGTTACAAAAAGTTGTACGCTCAAACAGCGATTCTCACAATAAATTTGCACTGAACGGTAAGTTCGCTGCGCGCTCTATCCAAGAAATGTTCCGAGCACACTCGAGAGGATGGCGTCCGGGAAGTCTTTTCTGCTTGTGTACGGACGCAACCGACCCACTGCCATCGCAGGTTTTGGTCGTTCGGAAAGCGATGGAGTATGAAGACATTGCAGCCGCATTAGCCGCATAACCCCGTATTGTTGGAGCCGACGCAGATGTTGTCGTAGCAACCCGTACGTCGCGAGCCGTTGCAATCTCACTCGGACGAAAAGCAAGTGTGTGAACGTACCGCACTACCGGAACCTTTGAAGCATGCTTTCGCTCCCCGGCCCTGCCCACAGTTGCGTCAGAGACTGTTTGACTGCGTTGCGGCTGCGAGAACCAGGACATCCCTGCTTATGTCGCGTGCCAAACTACTACTTGAATTGGATTCCACGCTTCATACGAAGCACGGACGTGCCGGCGACTCGTTTTCGTTTCTCGACGGAACGCAGTCAAACGCAACTACGCGTAGGAGGATTAAACTTCATAAAATACTGCGCTTTCGGTTGTTATTCGTGTAGCCTATAGGAAGTATTTACTAGATGCCATATTTGTGGGTGCTGTTTAAAGCGCATGCTCAGAACGAGCTCACATCAATAGGCTGCTAAGACCGGCACTCTCGATGGTGCGGGATGCACGTTGCAAAATAACTGGAAGCTGGCCATCAGCACGCGCTCAGAATTCGCGCACACAGCTATGGCTGCCAGTGAATACCAAAAAACGCGCTATCCAAGATGATGATGCCGACGTGGCTGGTGTGACTCTCGCGCCCTCTATCAGCTGGAAATTTTCTGCCAGTCTTGGACTGCGAAGACCCGCTCAGCGCGATTCTCGACCTACGTATTTGCGGTTTTGCATTCGACGTTTTCAAGCCCCTCTTGAAAGTTTCCACTTATTTTTTTTTATGCCAGCTGCTTACCCTTTCTGTGTTATCTTCCATTGTGAGAAATAAGGCTGGTAAGTGCCTGCCGCTCAAGCTTTTCTGCTGGACATTCACGGGAAACGAAGAGGGTGAAGGACGAGGAATATAATCCCTGGAGAAAGGGAACAAGAGGGACAAAGGACAAACACAAATCTCCAAACACAGCTAGGACGTCGAACGGCCCTCGACGCGATTTTGAGAATATTGCTCTCCAACCTCCCAGAGATAATCCGCGTAGAATCCTCAGTCATCTTTAAAAATAGTTGTCCGGGTTGGGGTTGGAAACGGGTCAGTTGCGTTCGTTCCTTTGTCTGGGTGCTGTTGTGAAAAAAGGAAGCTCTCCCCAAAACGAAGTCCTCTTGGATTCCGTCCGATCGTCAAGATGTGACTGTCGTCGACTGTGAATGTGTTATTTGAGATGTTTGTTAAATAAATTCTTTTTCAGATAACGCTGCATTGTGCGGTACGTACAATATATTGTTCGAATGTTAACACTCGCTAAATTGTGTGTCTGTGTCCTGTCCATCGGTAAACACGTTATTTGTGAGCGTGAAAAATGCATGCCTTTCGGCTATCTTCTGTTGCAATTTATTTTCGACAGCTAAGCGCTCTGTCGTTTGACATGGGGCGAATCGCGCGGCGCCAACAAAACTTATCGCAAAAAAAACAAAAACAAAAAAAAAACGAACTATACATTTTAGTCGCATTCGTTCTGTCGCGCGCGTACCTAACAAAAAAAGTTTATAGGTTTTTATTGCTTTTTTTTTTTTTTTCAAATGTGGTACAATGCTTTCTCAATGACCTCGGGAAAATAGATGCACCATAAAACACAGAATACAGCGGGGAAAGACGAGAATTTAAACGCCAGCAGTGTTTGAAACTGCGCCTATCGAAATCACAGTCCACTCGGTTAGGGTTAACAGGGACGCCGGTGAGAGTCTAGCCCAGGGGTGGCCAAGCTGCGGCTCGCGAGCCGCATGCGGCTTTTCGCGCGTTAAAGTGCGGCTCGCGGCTACCTCCCCTACCCACCCCCCCCCCCACACACACACACACACTCACACTAACACATTTCTCTCCTGGTCACACCAGCACTTCCCCAAAAAGAGAAATGGAACGCGTTTTAAATCGAAAGACAGGTTGCTGTTTCTTAGTCTTGTGCTACTGCTACCTTACGTACAGTTGTACAGCTTCTGACTCGGATAGATTGAAAGTAGTTCGAGTTTTGGTTATTGCTCTGGACAAAAGTTTGCCCCCCCCCCCCCCCCCCCCCCGCGGCTCTTGGAAGTTTAGTGGTTTTGTTTGCGGCTCTTATGCCTGGTCAGCCTGTCCACCCCTGGTCTAGCCTCAAACCCAGTGAATGGGCTCGAAAGCGGTTTGCTACCCCTGGGGTTGAGTGTTTCTTGGAAAAGTGTATAGACCTTTTTCGCAAGGGCGCCGCCATCTTGAATTGTCGTCACTCCCAGTATGGGCGAAAACATTGTTTTGCCGTCGCCACGCCAATAGAAGGCATTTAGGACATAAACGTAACCGTCACACATTCTCGTTTTGCCTCCCCTCTATTTTTTACCATTTGCAGGTTGAAACGTTCTGATATTTGTTCGTCGCCCATACCGGGCGGCGGAGAAAAGCTCACCGGAGAAAAGCTCACCGGAGATAAGCTCACCGGAGATAAGCCCACCGGAGATAAGCTCACCGGAGATAAGCTCACCGCAAAACCGGCATATGCGGAGAAAAGCTCACCGGCCTTTGATCGGATGCGGAGAAAAACTCGCCGATTTTCTTTTTTAACTTAGAGTATTCTGTGTCAAACGTGTCAATTTAACACAATTCGCATTCGTCACTTCATTAAAAATTTATCCTCGTTTTGTAATATTCTTGAAGTTAATTGGGCATGATTACTAATTCCTCAGAAATTAGTAATCTCCCATTCTGTATATTATTGAAGCCGCAAGTATAAAATCAGAACATTGTACACCAGTAAAATATACAACAATTTATATACAGCTGAAAGTGCGCCGTCGGTAGCTCTGTCAGATAAAGAGGTTTGTTCTTTTCGAGCTAATATGAGTAGCGATGTGTGAACCGTTTCAGCTCCAAATATTGTGTAGTGCCTAATAGATAAGTAGGTGTTTGCTGATGTAATCAATGTCGGCTACGCTGTTTTCTTTCTGTTAATTTCACGAACAAATCTTTAGTTACGTGAACAGCTTCGTCCTGTCGTGTTTGTTGTCTTC